AAGTATGATGCACCATACAGATTCTAAAAATCCTAAGCTTTTCAATTCTGCATTGTTGGTTGCATTCAAGTCCTCTTTTTACATATAGCAGTATGCCAACTGCTCTTGTTGTTCTGTACTTTCTGAATTATCCTTCAGAATTACTACTGACCCCCAGAGTTTCCTCTGGCTTCATCCTGGAAGATGATCGCCTAGAAGATGGAATGCCTCTTCATTTATGTCCTCTAATCCCAATGTTTCACTGATGCCAATGATGTTGGGATTCTCAGCCTAACTGTATGTGAAAAATGCATCAAATTTAGTTACAAAGCTTCTGACATATATGTAGAAACAGTTTAAACTCCTAATATTGTTCCTAGGGGCTGACAGAGGGGCTTTTACATTCTTCACATTCTTATTCCATACATTATCACTTTGGATTTGTGACTGCTTGTTCAACCCATTCCTCAATTAGTACATTTGACATTTAAATCTCCTAGGGCTACAACTGATGTACTAAAAATAATAGTGTCTCGTAAAATTTATGTGATATCCAATTTTCTATTCTTGGGTCTTCGGTTAGGTTAGGTTCTGGTAATTTAGTACATCTGTTCAGTGACATTGTGAATGCTCGAGTGGATAGGCTGGCTTATCATCCATGATATATAGGGATGGTTCTGCCTTGCTGAGTGAAGAACTATGCTCTCTCCTCCATCCATTATCATGATCATCTGTCCTCTCCATATTTTTAGCCTTGAATCTTTGTACTGGTCTGGGTTTCTTAACTCCTTTAGTTTGTCTCTTATCTACTTGTACATTTTATTTTGTTGTTCTACTGTGAAGTCTGGGGTTGTAAATGCTGATCTTTTAGTTTTTGTGCACTTTTGAATATCCTCTTTCTGTTCTCAAGATTTGCAATGTTCATGCATACCAGATTTGCCTCAGGCTAACCTAACCTCCCTACCTGAAAAATGCCTAGATCCTCCTCCATGCCTGTCAGGTTTTCTTTAATATCATCAATGATTTGCTGATATTATTCTTACCCTCTACTTTTGCAAGGTTTTTCATAATGAGGCTGTATTTTTATTTTTCTATCCAGAGCTTCGAAATCTCCCTCCAGAACTTCTAAATCTCTATCTTCAACTCTGCCTGCATTCACAAAGTTTTCCCTGAATGTCAGATTACCCCTGGATTTCTCCTAGTTGACCAGGGAAATCATACCTTGACAATTGTTACTGATTATTTTGACAGTCCATGAGTTATTTCAACATTTCCTTCTCACCCTCTAATAGTTCATATATTATGTTATCATAATATTTCCTTTTATCCTCTTCATTTCTCTTATCTGTATTTTTTATGGCAGTGCTACTTTTATTTCATTTACTAGGCCAATACAGCATTACAACTTAGACTACTATGAAGACATTTTAAGGTAATGTCCTAGAAATAGATTGAAAGCAGTATTGTCTGGAACTATAATCACAGTTGAGTAAAACCACAAAATATAAATGAGTAGTCTAATTTTGCAAATAAAACAAAATTCATTACAACTCCTATCCACAATATGGGAAATATTTCAGAATTTGTAAAAATAGCCAATTAAACTTGATTTTTAAATAAAATACAATCATAATTAAGTTTTAACTAGTACTATTAATTTCTATCCAGTCCTTGTGGCATGCTTATTTTTCATTACTTTTTATTTGGATTGATGTTTACAATTTCTGTGATACATAAATTATATTGGAAGAGTATTGAATGGTGTGAACATGATCAGGAGAAAAATATGATTGCTGACATGTATTTACATTTGCACATGAGTTTTAAGAATAATTACTAACAATAAACTTCCTAAGGCTGTGTTTAAAAATTAAACATAACTAATATCTTTTTTGCAAACATTGAAAGTCCTCTCCTAACTCGACATGCTGTGTGAGGGGAGGTCCAGGATTTCTCCAAGAAATGACATTTCTGGGAGGAGGCCCTTGTGGCTCCCTGAAGCTATACACTTAGATGAATCCCATCTACTAGATTGCATCAGCAGTGGAATTCTGTAGGAACCAGCACCATAATGTTGCCCTGCCACAGGTGCAGGGAGCAGTGACATTTCACCACCTCACCAAGGAAGGCAACCGGAAAATCAGAGAATCAAAACAAACCACTGCTGGATTCAAAAGAGACTGAAGCCTTGAAATGCGCCGAGTGAACTCTCCCCTTGGCTATATAAACAAATGATCTGATTCTCTCAATATCTATTATGAGCTTGTTTGCCCCACCTCTCCTACTTATTTGGGGAAGGAGGGAAATGGTTCACTGCCTGCTGGGGTCTGAACTGTCAGTTCTGTCACTGATGTAGTAGTTCCTGGGCTGCCTCACCTTCATGTGAGCTCCTCTGTTCAGCAAAGTAGTGCAGAGTTTGCCCCTTGGTGGCTTTTTTTGTACACTGCAGTGAAACCTGAGCCTGGCTTTTAAAGTGTTTGGAGCTCCATGGGCTCAGGATTACCTTCCCCGTGTGCTTCCTAGCACTGCCTTTGCATTGCCAGTTATCTACTCTGAAGTGTTCATGAAATGCTCCCTCAGAGGTCTTCCTCACTTATGGTGAATGTACTGGTGATTCATGGGCTTCTCTTCAGTATGCAGAGGTTGGCCTTCATTGTTATGTAACCCAGGCTTTGTCAACTTACTTTTAGGTTTGTTGTATCTGAGCAAGACACCCCAGTGCTGGGGTGTCTTGCTCAGTTTACCCCTTTAGGACCTGAAAATTCACTGTGGGTTTGGTGGTCCTATGGATTTTCCCAAATTTGCTCTCAATTTGTATAAGTTTGAGGGTTACTCATCATCTGTACCATGTGACAACAATCACTCATTCTGCCTCTGTCATGCTGCCTGTTGGGTCAGTGACACGTTTGACCCTGATTCCTGTGGGGTTTTCTCTTCCCATGTGACTCTTCTTTCTAACCCTTCTGATGAGGTTAGGGCTTACCAGGCAGGTACTGCTTTGTATATTTGTTTTGTTAGGTTGTAGCAGTCTAAATTATGTGCTCATTTGGATGCCCCAAAACTGCCCTGTTTGGTGTTTAGGGACCTGGAATTGAGGGATGCTGGTGAACTTCACTTTGATTCCATCTGCACCTCCTCTTCCTTCCTATTCAGGCGAGGTCACCCTTCTACTGATCTTCCCCCGCCTCCTATTTCTGGCCCTGAAGCGTCTGAGGGTTTCGGGTAGGTGCTGGGTTTAGTTCAGGATGTAGCTTGGCCAACTCTGGGGACCACATAACCCCTTCTGAATTGGGCATGGAGGCAGTTGAACCAGCTAGTCCTGTCAAAGCTTCAGGGGTTTCCTTCCTTCCTGCCAGCCTCCCTTTCTTTGAAGCCTCTCCCTTGGACTCCACTTTTCTATCCCCTGCCAATAGGTGCATATGCTGGCTCCACCCTAGGGCCCTCGAGTGTGGCTTCCGGGGCTTGGGGGGAGTTTCAGGAGGCACTCTTCATGTACCTCCAGTGTGATCAAGATTATGCTTCTTTATGGCGTTCCTCCAGCGTTACCCAGATTATGCCACTTTGATGGCATAATCTGGGTCAGTTTGCTTCCAAACAAAGTTAGAATGAGTCAATTGGCTTCCAAAGGGGTACTTTGGTTATTGATGCTTCATTGGGTCAGTCAAGGATGCATCATTCATCTAGTGGCAACTCTCTGCCACTACAGTACCTTCGTACCATCGATTTTGCTTCGGTGGATACTTTGTGGGTTGACACTGTTTCCTTGGTTCCTTCTTCCATGGCTCATATAATTCAGGTTGTCCATGTTATTAAGTCTAGCCAGCCTGTGATCTATGTTCATGCCCATCAAATTAGGAAGTATGCCACTCTTTTGGCTGTGCCTGCGAATATGTCCTGGGCAGATATTCGGGTGAAGTTTTTTTTGGAGATTTAATATGGTTCTGGCGTCCTGGTATTTTGTGAATGTTCTTGGACCTCAGCACTCTTGTGTGGCCTAGGGTCGTGTCTCTCATCCACGGGTTTCTTCTTCATTTTGTCTCCTGCATTACTCCCTCCTCCCTGGTAAGTTCCCATGTGTGCTTCCTTCTCCTTTGGTAGCTAGCTTCAGGGAGCCACAAGGGGCTTCCCCCCAGAAAACTAGTGTTGAATGTAATGAAATGCCTATTTCTGGATGAGCCCTGGTGGCTCCCTGGTGAGTCTTCCCCACCTCCCTTCCAGGTCACCGGGTGGGTGTTTATATCTGTTCCAGAACTGATAGCTCACACACCCCAACAAGCGGTGAACCACTTATCCCCTTCCACCCAAACTAGTAGGAGGGAGATGGTGCAAATAAGCTCACATATTAGTTTCAAGAAAATCTGATCAACAGTTTATATAGTTCATGGAGTTCATTAGGTGGATTTCAAGGCTTTGGTCTCTTTTTGAATCCAGCAGGGGTTTGATTTGCCTCACTGACTTTATGATTGTCTTCCCCAGTTAAGTTGCAAAATGCCACCATTTCCTGCACCTCCATGAGGAAGGGATAGGTTCTGGCACTGGTCTGTAGTAGACCTATATACTCTATGGCTAATGTGACCTGGTAGATGGGAACCGTCTCAGTGTATAGCTTCAGGGAGCCATCTGGATTTAACCAGAAATTTATGTTTCATTACATTTGATGCTGGTTTTTATAGCATTGCTAAAGAGCTATACCTTTTTGCAAAACATACATTAATTTAAATGAAATGAGAAGGGATGAAACAGTTTTTTTTACAATATTTTTAACTCATTTTTTTTTTTAAATTCAGTTATGGTTTAAAATGAAAATGATTAATGCTATAAAGGACCTATTCTGTATATAAGGTTTATTGTACTAAGAATGCAAATTCCCTGGAACTTCCACTGATGTCAGCATTTTATTTTATTATTTTAAACATAGTTGCCTCAGATCTTTTTGTACCCTCTCAATCCCACAACACATTAACAGTTATAAAGAATCCTCACAACACATTAACAATAACCTCCTAATGGTGGTTTTCTAGCGTAACCACTCCTTGTTCGGCTCGGTCTGGTCATCTATGAGAGTCAAAGGCCTACAGCGAACTCGATCCCTCCGCGTCAGCTCTGGACAACATGCTAAAGTAAGCACTGTACACAGGTTAGCTGGAATTCCATCACAGTATTAGAATGAGCCACACACTTGGGTGTTGATTGTATTAAGTTTATACAGTATTATATGTAGTCTACATGTATGGATTTGCATTATATTTGGTAACAAATAATTTATAGGAATTTGGTTGTCTCTCCAGTACTGGGATAATATCTGCAGTTCAAAACCCAGTGTTGAATGTAATGAAATGCCTCTTCCTGGATGAGCCTTGGATGCTCCATACAAATGGGTCACATCAGATGGGAAGTTTGGTTTGGTTAACTAAGGACTAGAGCCAAAACCTGGCCCCCCTTTCCCTCCACAGAGAGATGCAGAAAGAGTGACACTTCACTTTCACATGGAGAAAGTATCCAGGAAGTCAATGAAAGTTTACAGACAACTGTAGGGATAACAAAGTCTTAAGACTCAAAATCACCAAATACCTCCACAAATGATTGACACAAAACAAGGGAAACATTCAAAATTAGTGCAAAACTCATTGTATTGAATGCCATCATCAGATGGCCTGGCTTCTGCTCACAGCCATCTTCCTTACCTACTTCTGGAGATGATGAACAGCTCACTGATGAACTGATTAACCTGCTAGGTGGAAGGGAATCAGGGAGCCACCAGGACTCTTTCAGAAAAAGGCATTTCATTATATTCAACACTTGGGTTCTGGAGAGAGCCCCTGGTAGCTCCCTGAAGCTAACACACAAAAAAAACAAGACTTACCAAGGAGGATATGTGGCAAGCACTGGGATGCAGAAGAGACTCCATTAACCAAATACCAGACCACAAATATATCTACATATCTACATATCTTCAGGTGTAGATATGATAGAGCCCAGTAGGCTCAGGAATCTGTACACCAGTTGATTGACAGTTGAGAGGAGGGCCCAAAGAGCCAAAGCTCAACCCCCACAAGCACAATTAGGTGAGTACAATTAGGTGAGTACAAAAACTCTGTCAGAGTACCAAAATCACCAAGCTCAAATATCAGCCCAGGATATATTTGAGAAGACCTTGAAGTTTGCAAGGTGCTTGCAAACATCATGGGTCTGTGGGTAGACCACAGACTGGCCTGATTTGCTGAAACTGCAAAAAAAGTAAATGGGAACACAGAGCCAGAGCGACAGCGACCACTCGGCACCACTCATCAGTCAAGAACTGGCTGGTGGCAGCCCAGCTTATCCAGGATGGCTTCCCCTTCCCCCTTCCCCCCGTGTGGGGGGGGGGGAGAATACAGCTAATGAGGGGGGTTATTTGGAAAAAAATTTGCTCGTTTGTTTTCTTTGTGAGAGAGTTCTTTTGAGGGCTTTGAGTTCTTTGTGAGGATTTGAGGGCTTCTGACAGCTGAGTGGACAGCGCTTTGGATTCATAGTCCTGAGGTTCCGGGTTCAATCCCCGGTGGAGGCGGAGACAAGTGGGCAAAAAGTTTCTTTCACCCTGATGCCCCTGTTACCTAGCAGCAAATAGTACTTGGGAGTTGGACAGCTGCTACGGGCTGCTTCCTGAGGGTGTGTAACAAAAAAAAGGCCTGGTCAAGGACCAGGCCGCAGGGATGCTAAGCCCCGAAATCATCTCAAGATAACCTCAAGATATGTAGGTCGCATTTTCACCCAATTGCATTTTTTATTTACCCTACCTTTCTGGGTGCCTTCCCTGGTCAATGAGAAGATGACCTGCTTTAAATTGATGTGTTCATGGGCCATTGCTTCCTGCACCTTTCTGAGGGGGGCCCAGGTTCTGGTTCATGGTTCCCAGTAGGCAATACAAGCACTCTGCAACTAACGACACTCAAGTAGAATGGCACTTGAACAGTAAGATAGCTTCAGAGAGCCGACAGTGTAATGGCACAGAAACTAATGGCCCCCTGTAGGATTAAGTCTGAGGATGACCAGCACTTAGCTTGAAGCAGAGGTGCTTGCCTCATCTGTATGATGCAGACTACTACTGTCCAGCTGGACATTAGAGATTGAACTGGGTACAAAAGAAGGTTGTGTGCAGAAGCTGGGCCACCTGATGGTGACATTTGGTGCTATGAGTTTCCTGCTAAAAATTTTGAATGTTTCTCTTATTCTGGGTGAATCATTTGTGGAGCTGTTTGGCTATTTTCTGACTTAGGCCTTTATTATCCTTTCAGTTGTCTATAAAGCTTCACTGACTTTCTGGATGCTTTCCCAGTGAGGTGATGAATCATCACTCGATCTCTCTGCATCTATAAGGGGCCAGGTTTTGGCTCTAAGCCCCAGTAGACCAAACAAAACTTCCATGTCTAAAGTGACCCATTTGCATAAAGGCAAGCAAATCTCAGTGAGATAGAGTCAGGAAGTCAACAGGGGCTCCCTAGAAACCAGAATTTGTTTATAATAATTAATATAGCTTATTAAAACTTAGTACAGTACTGATATTTTAAGTGATATTTAAAAATATAATTTCTCATTCCATCATATGTTTTTCTATGAAAGCACCCTCAGTACCTCTCTGAGCTAAGAGCTGCTACAGCCTGCCTTAGGAAAATCCACCAGTTTTCATAAACCAATCCTTGACTACTGGGAGCTAGAACCATAATCTGGCTTTCTCTATGAGGCATGGGAAACTTGGAGATCAGAGATTAACCCTTAAACTGCGCATGGCGTATATATACGCCCTGAGTAACATGTCCCATGGTGCGCATGGCATATATATATGCCATAGGGTGCCAGGCCTGATTCAAATGGCCCGCGGCTACACGGGGTTCACAGTAGCTTCCTCAGGGCTCTTGTAAACAGATGCCATTTTAAAAAAAATTTGTGGGCAATATTCTCAGGTGTGAGAGGCACAGTACTGTTGGAGCAACCAAGGCCGGCGCACACAGCATGAGCGAACAGCATTGATGTTCAGCTTGTGACCACAGCATCGCCGAAAAATGTCAAAATAAATATATAATTGTTATTATTTAGCGATGACAATATTACAGATGACCAATGACTGTGATATAAATAACCAGGGTTGTGATAATAGCAGGATTGTTGTAATAATTAGCGCTGTGGGAGGAGTGATGCTGAGAGATGGAGGGAGACAGCATCGTTTACTGACTGTGTGTCTAGCTGTTATTGTTTGCATTCACCATACCAGGTCAGTGGTTCTCTATGGTGAACACAAATGTAGATACTTATATATAATGTGTGTATTAGTGTAATAACAGCAAAAGGATTATGCTGGGAGGAGCCATATGGGTGACGGAGGTGACGTCGTCTGCACGATTTGTCTAGCTGTTTAGAGGGTGGCCACTATGCTCTTTGGGCGCACTACAAGCTTAGGTGTACAGTTACGGTGCATAAAACATGTAGATATTTATATATAATATGTGTATATAGGGTAATAACACTGCAAAAGGTATTGTTGGGGGAGAAAGTTTAGTGCGTGTGACCTTGAAAGAGTGAGGGAGCCGCCAGCCGCCATCTGTGTATAGCGACGACTCTTCGTGCCTGAACTAACTATATCAGCTTAGCTGTACAGTTGTGGTGAACAAAATATATACATACTTATATATAACGTCTGTATATAGTGTAATAACACCACAAATGGTATTGTTGGGGGAGAAAGTTTAGTGCGTGTGTTGAGTGAGTGGCAGCGAGTGGCTGGCTGGTGTGTGGCGGTAACTCCTCGTTGCTTTTCGACTCTCAATACCAACTTAGTGGTTCGTTATGGTGACCAAAACATGCCAATACTTATATATAACCTGTGTATAGAGTGTAAAAGCAGCAAAACTATTTGTTTATTCTTTTATAAACATAATAATTGAATCACTAATATGCACATCATACTTTTGAGTATTGCGATTATTAACCACTTTTATTATATAAATATATTACAATACACACTATTGAATAATATTACTGCAAAAAAACTAAGAAAAAATCAATCGGAGACATTGAAACAATTAGGTAATAATATCTTTGTGGCAACTCCCATCTGTCAACGCGGGTGACGCTGACCGGGTCTGACGACCGCTTTGTCAACGCCCACTTTTTGCCAGACTTCCTCGGTCAATTGCGCCCAAAATATGTCACCTACGATTTTGTTTTTTTCCGTGCTCAGGGGACACAAATTAACATGTTTAGAAGGCAAAAAAAATTTTTGAATTTTTTTTTTTCTTGCGCACAGGGGTGTAAATGTCCCAAGGACCCCTGAGCAGTGTAAGGGTTAACCTTAAACCAATTTCAAATACTAAATGTGGGGAATGTTGGGACATTTTGTCAATGTCCTGCTCTGTCTGTTTGGTGTACCTGTGGAATTTATCTTAGGGAACCTCTCCTCCTTGCGAGGACTAGCAACCCCCTAATACGAGCAGGTTAGGTTCTGAAAAAATTTTCATATAGCATTTGTTTAGAATATGGAAGGAGATTTCCCAGAGGCACAATGCTGTAAATGTAAGAGATGAGTTCCAGGACCACCAAAATTCCTCAAAAAACCAATATTTTTAGGTCAAATAATATAAAAAATATAGCACATTATTTACATTGAATGATAGAGTTATCCTGCTTGTCAAAGTTAGTTGCTGTTGAAGAAGAGGTATAATTATATAAATACCTGTACTGTAAATGACAATATACAGTATGAATGTACTGTATTGAGAGTTAGCCATTTGTAATTCATCTCACAAGTAAACATTCCCACCTATCTTTCATCACCAATCCACTGACTGCACCCCACCAGAGTAAACATGATCTAGTATTGTTCAAATCATGTTCAAGACACGATAAAGCAACTAAATTATTGGGATCATCTCAAAGCTCTCCAAATGTACTCCCTAGAAAGAAGACAAGAGAGATATTAAATAATATGCACATGGAAAATACTGGAGGGCCAGGTATCTAATCTACACAATAAAATAACAACATACTGGAGTGAACGATCTGGAAGAAAATGCAGAATAGAACCAGTGACAAGCAGGGGTGTCATAGGCACAATCAGAGAACACTGTATAAATATCAGATGTCAATG